GCAGGAAGCAACTTGCCCAAATGAGCCCGGGAACAGCACCCAGCTGTCCTGAGCTCCCTCGCAGGTCTGCCTCTGCTCAGGACACCTTCCCACATCAGTGGGATCCTGGTTTTCTCTGATGGAAAAAAATCCCCAATTTTCGGATGAAAAAAAGCCAAAATCCAAAATTTTCCGTGATTAAAATGAAACGCCACTAATACGATATGCATATAGCGGCGTTTCATTTTAATCATGGAAGAATGTAGATTTGGGGTTACTTTTTAAAAATCTGAACATTGGGGATTTTTTAAAATTGGAGAAAACCAGGGTCCCTGCTGACGAGCGTGCTTGTCTCTGCTCAGGACACCTTCCCGCCGCAGTGATGAGTGTGCTCGTGTCCAGGAGTGCCAGAGACGAGTGGCCTGTCTGAGTGCGTGTCACGAATGCCATCGCAGGGTCTGATTCGAATACCCCCGTTTAAACAACTTCGCCGCCTTCCCCATTTCATCCGGCTGGCTCCTGTCCTGGTCCGAGGGTTAAGCCCTGCAGGCACGCTCCACCGCTGCCGCTGGAGTAGGCTGCTCCGCGTCTGCTTTACAATGCCTGCTCTCTGCAATGGGAGGAAGGCTTCCAAGAACCTCCACCTAGTTCCTTAATAAGGAACCCTTTGTTTTCCTGACGCACAATGCAGCTTTATTCGATTCTGTGGCTTTCCTCCCAGCTGCATCCCACAAAACCCTCTTTGCCCAGCTAGGGAGCAAGCCTGAAAGGTGTCTGAAGTTTATAAAGCAGAGAGAGTGTTGTTTGCGGTTCAGGTGCCAGAGTAAAATCTTCCTCGCCTTGGCACCCAAAGAGCTGCAAAGACGTCCTCTGAGACAAACGGAGGTGACCTGGGGGCAGCATGTGGGAGGTACCCCTCCGGCGCTGCGAATCCAGCGAGACGGTCCCTTTTGTTCCCAGCACCCCCGTGGGTTCGTTAATGAATTATTTGCACCTTGAGAGACACTAAGCAGTGTCTGTGGGAAAACCTCAAGGTCATAGAGGCCATAAAAGCCAAAGACTGCAGACACCATAAAACGACCGGAGCGGCTGTGGACACCCCCAAACCTGCTGCATTTGCCACCCCCAGACCTGCTGCATTTGCCTGGCAAGTGGAGGCAGGTCTTGCTTTTTTATTTTATCTGCCTGAAGGAGGGGAGATGGCATTAAGCTGCATTGGTGGTAGCAATCCCTTGATTTAAGGATGACCTAACTGCACATCCATCCACTGAAGTTGCAGGTCTTTCCGCTCTAAGCTGCTGAGCCCTGACGCATCCCTCCCGGGCAGCACCGGCATGTGGCTGCGTGGATCCTCCTCTCCATGAGATCCCACCTTGCACAAGGCGTTTCCAGTCCAAGGCCCCACTGCTGATGAGGCTGGAAGCAGGGGGAGGAAGGAGAGCTAGCCCCGTTATCCCCTCTTTGCAAGCCTAGCCAGGCATCTTGTTGGGACCTTGAATCATCTTTGGGGTCTGCTATTATCTGGACCCCAAAGTGCATGTGCACAGGGGCGGATTCAGGACCCATTTGGGAGTGGGCTGTAAGCCGGACCCCTCTGGTCCCTCCCAAGATCATTCACCTTCCTTTGTTTTCCCTTCCCCTCGTCTCCTGCCTTTTGCTGTGCTCCCATCCCGGCTTTCTCACCGACTCCTTGCTTTAAGCCGGGCCGGTGGTGAGAGGTCACAGAGGGGTTTGCCCCGCTCCCTGGGGCCGTGGGGAGTAGGGGGAGGGCGGGAAGAGCGCCTGCGGTTTCTTTTTTGGACAGACCCCTCCATTCACACTTCCCTCTCCCACCCATTAATTTGTTGTGGTCGGGGCTAGTAATAGCTGCTTTGTGCTAAGGCGAGGGAAGAAGGAAAAAAAAAACAACCGAGAGCACAGACAGCAGCTCCACTGTTTTCTAAAAGGGATGTTTTCCCCCCCTCTTCTCCCTTGAATAATGTTTTTGATTGTAATAGTCTGTCCTGGTTAAGGAAACCCACAGCCTCCCCCCCCCCAGCCCGCCTCTCTCTCTCTCCCCTGTAAACCACGGTAGAAGTTTAAACAACCCAGAGCGATTTTTCTCACCAGTCTTATTTTACTAATAGGAAACAAGTGTTTAAAGCAGCAAAGGGCGCTTTCATCCGCCTGGCGAAGGAGCGGCACTGGCTTTGCGCGGAGGTTTCGGGTCCCTTTAGGGGCAGGGAGGCGGCTGGGTCTGTCCCAGCTCTCTGGGCCAGAGCTGGAATTGCAGTGTGGACCTGGGGATGTCTTGCAAAGGGTTTGTGTGCTCTCTCTGCCCCGGGCTTACCACCTGACAGGGCTCCTGTAGCGTGGGTGCACCCTGACTTGGCGCCATGGACTTGGGGGGCGGTGTGCCCGTTGCATTGGCATTGACTTTGGGCTACTTCAGAGTCACGCAAAGCTTTCTACACCTGGGAGAAATCCAGCGCCCTTGACATCCATCAGAGTTTGGGTGTTGTCTGAGTGGGGGAAAGCGTTTTAACCAGTGCAAACCAGCTTCTTGTCTTCTCCCACAGGTATCACGCTATAAGTGCCCCCTCCCCAAAACCAGTTCACTCTTCTCCAAACCTTTCCTTTGAACTGGTCCCTACAGTGATGCCTAGAAACCCAAATAATCATTTGGGAGCTGCGGGGGCCACAAATGCTGTTTTTTATCCTAATAGTATCATCCTGGCAAGATGCTTGCTAGGACATAGTATCACAGATGAGGATTTATGTTCGGTGTCGGAGTTTGGGCAGGGAAAGAGGTGCCCTGCAGGCCAGCCCAGAGGCATAAGCTTTGCCTGGACGGTGCCCTCCAGGACTCTGAACCCTTCATGTCCATGAGCACCGAGCGAGCCCATTTGTCAAACTCAGAGTGAAATAAGTGATGCTTTTAAGGGTCATCAGGGAAAACCTTGTGTGAAAGAGCTCAGGAAGGGCATGAAAATCTCTTTTCCAACCTGGAAGAAATGAAGAGCATGCTGGTACCTGCCAGCCCCTCATTTTATAGCAGCCACGCTGGAGCTGCTGTGCCAGGGGTCTTATATAGTGAATGCGTGCATTTGCAGCAATAGTGGTATGCAGATGCTCCAAAGGCCACCTTCATTGCAGCCGGCTCTCCTTCCCTCCATGTGAGCCCCTGACCCTAGAGCATTGCTGAGGGGAGCAAGGCATTTCTCAAGGAGACAGAGTCAGAAGAGATGTGCTGGGGCTGGGGAGCAGGGTGCTGCTTGCTTGGCTCCTTGCCTGGGGGTTAAGTCTTAGCAGCTGCTCCGCCGTTCCCAGTAAGTCCTCGTGTCCCTGGTTCGAGAGCTCTCGAGGCCTCTCCTGCATCAATTTTGGTTTTCAGAGGTGACTTTTAGGCCCTGAGAAACCAACGTCACAGGCCTACATCATGTCTACAACTGAGATATGAGGCCTTCTCGGTGCTTCTTCTGGTTTTGGAGTTTGCCCATCCCCTTCATTATTCAGTTGTCTTTTCTTGCTCGGGAAAGATGACTTGAATGCCAGGTGCTCTCTTCCCCTTCCCAGCAACCCTCCCACCCCTCCTGGCCGACCATGCCTGGGCATGGCTAGCATCCGTGGTCGCAAGCCTGCTCATCGCTGTGCCACGAGAGCTTGGAAGGGGATGCTCATAGCAGGTGTAGGGGACCCGCTCCCGTAACCAGCTTGCTTTCAACGTGAGGCCTCTTTGCAACCCTGCTGCCGAGAGGAAAAGCGATGGTTAGAGCATGAAATGAAGTGCAACCTGTGGGCCTCTCCTTGCTCTCCACCCCCTGTGCTGCTTTTCGGGCAGCTCGGTGCACGCACACAGTCTCTCACCCCCGTGGCTGCACGGCTGGGGTGAGGTGGGGCTGTCCCTAATCTATCTGTGTCTGGTTTTGCTCACAGCACAGGCTGGGCTGCAGCCACGTTGGATGCAGGGGTAGCCCTGGGGACACTGCCCTTTCTCTGGTGCCAAGATCTGCTCACTGTTGTGCATGAATGTGGCCCTGAGCACCCTCAGGAGCCATTTCCCCCCCCCTCCGCCTAAAGCCCGTAGGTAAAGTGCACACTTCCTTCCTCCCAGTGCACCCTCCAGCTCTGTGCCCCAGGCAGGAGGTGATAAAAGCCAACAATAGAGTGACTGTACAACGCTGCAGACAAAGGGGAGATTAATAGCAAATGAGAGGGATTAACCCCAGCGTTATCTGATGGTGGCTATCACAGCAGGCTGAAACCAGAGATCATCTAATGGGCCTGTCTGTGAGGGCAGAGGCACCTGAGAGAGGAGGACACCAGCTCCTTTTGGAGAGCCAGCAATGCAGGGTGGACTCCGATGAATGGTGGGGAGGCCCTTTGGTGTCAGCAGGCAGAGCCCGGGAGCCGAACAGCCGCTGGAGCATGCAGGAGTTGTGGCCCAAAACCTGGACCGTGGAGCCTCAAGGTCTCCTTCACTTGGTGTTTCCAGCCCCCGGGATGCTTTGTCTGCAGCAATGCAGCCGTCTGAAGGCCCCAGCGCAGCCTGGTTCTGGCGTGGACCTTCACATGGAGGAGCAGAGGGTCATTTGATCTTGGTGGGACCTGCCAGTTTGTCCGCACGACACACGAATCCTTGTGGCCGCATATCCCAGCCAAGGGAAGGGTGTGCTGTGTGGTGCCCTGGCTTTGCCAGGCCCCTTGAAGAAGCCCCCTCCCCTGTCCCCATGGTCACAGTTTTGGGGGTGAGTTGGAAAGGCCCTCCAGCAAGCCGCTTTTCTTCTCTGCGTCTCCTTGGCTTCCAGGGAAGGGGTTAAGGTTGAGTAACTGATGTAAAGCACTTTGAAGATGAAGCTCACTGCGTAAGTGCAAAGTATTAGCATGATTAGAAGAGTCCCCAAGGGCTGAATGCACTTCCATTTGAGAGACATATTTAATAACTGTATTTGTTTTTAAGGCAGCTGTGGCAGCCTGCCCTCCCCCATCCGGAAGGAATGCAATACGATGTGCACATTTGGTGTCATGTGGTTTTTTTGCAGAAACTTAGCCATTGGGATTGGAATCCAGAATTTCCCAGAAGGCCTTGCTGTCAGTCTCCCCTTGCGCGGCGCTGGATTTTCCACCTGGAAAGCATTTTGGTGAGTAGCGCTCCTCTGTATGGTTGTTTGCACTCTGCAACACACACCTGAGAGGCAGTCTCAGGTTGACCCTAGAAAATCTGGGTGGGAAGGGAGCTCAGGAGGTCACATCTAGTCCAGCCCCCTGCTCCAAGCAGGACTGTGCCTGACTATCTCATCCCAGCCACGGCTTTGTGTAGCCAGATCTTAAGAACCTCCAAAGATGGAGATGCCACCACCTCTCTGGGTAGCCTGTTCCAGTGCTTTATCACCCTCCGAATAGAAAGTTTTTCCTAATATCCAACCTAAAACTCCCTTGCTGCAACTTGAGGCATTGCTCCTTGTTCTGTCGTCTGCCACCAGTGCCGGTAATAACACCCCCAGCTGATGGCCCTGTATTGCACATATCCATTTGCAATGATCCCCTAGGGCTAGTGCATTTTCAGGACTCCTCAGGGGCTTGACATTTTGCTGCATCCCGCAGCTGGTCCAGGCAGTCGCTAGGAGTGCTGCAAGTGCTTATTATCAGTCACTATGTTCACAGGACTGGACATCCTAGGACTGAGCAATTTGCCTGATTTCCACCTTTGAGAAAAGGAAACATGCTCTTCTGCCCTTCTGAAGCCACCCCATCCTGGCTGTAGAACTGGCAAGGCTTGAAATGTGGTCTTGGAGAACAGTGGTCTTGAGCATGGGAAGGGATCCTTGATCTGTATGAACCAAAGAGGGATGAACAAGACTGAGAGTGAGCGCATGAGTGCGGTGCTTTATCTAGAAATGCAAAACTCTAGAGCTCTTGGTTCAGAGAGGATACCTTTTATTAGACCAACTAATAAATGTATTATTAAAGTTTAGTAGACCAACTAATACATTTATTAAACCAGCTAATAAACTAATAAAAGGCATCATCTCTGAACCAAGAGTTCTAGAGTTTTGCATTTCTTTTCGTCTCAGACCAACACGGCTCCCAAATACATCCCTGAAACAGGGAAGGTGCTTCCTGCCCTAGGTTCTCCCCTGCACAGATCAGAGCCCCTGGTCTCTGCTGTCCTGCATCCTATTTTGAGGGCTGTCCTAAGAGCAGCAGGAGAAGCTGGGGGCAGAGAGCTCTCTCTGATGGAGAGCATCCCTACAGTTCACACCAGCTCATTTTGTTGGCTATTTAGCACTTATGGTTAACTCACAAGGCTTAAAAACAGCTTTTCTCTCACTTGGCTCTGGGCTGGATTTCAAACCTATGTCTCTTCCTGAGGCGAAAGAGCCAAGGGTGCAAACTCCGGCAGCATGAGGCCGTGGCACTGCTGGCACCTGTGTGCTAAGTGCTATGATGGAGAGGAGGACACGGGGAAGACGGGTGGGGAATTTCTCCCCCCCTCATAATTAAATGAATGCATCTTGTTGCACCGCTCACCTGAGACAGACGCTAAGGAGAAGGGGGGAAGCTGGAGGGTTATAACAGCATGCACGACCCCCACATTTGAAAGGGTCTGTAAGCCAAAGGAGGAGGGAGAGGGGTTTCGTTCAGGCCCACCTGCAGCCGGCTCTGATCCATTAGGCGCTGCCTGGTGCCATCTGGTACAGAGGACAGGTGCTTGCACACTTGGGTCCCTGTCCTTGGGGGCTTGTGTCTTGTGTCACACTGCACCATGGCAAGGTGATATTGCCTGGAAGATGCAATGCCAGCTAGGCCTGGGGAAGATTTCCCGCTCCCCACTTTGGGGGCTGGGCTTCACAGCGTCCCACAGGTCCCCCTTGGAGGAGGCATGGGAGAGAGAGAGACCTCCAGATCTCTTTGGAGATGCCTGGTGTGCACTCAGCACATAGGGAGGAATCCAGGCCAGAGCCCCTGCCTCAGCTCTGACTCTGTTTGCTGTTCCTGTGCATTCTTACACTTGAATTTCCAATCTTTCCATTGCTCTGTGGGGGGTCCAGTCTGCCCTGTCTCAGGTCCTAGAGACACCAACCACACCACCGTGCCTTCTGTGACCAGTTTGCATGTTTTATCTGACACTGAATATGTCTGTTCCCACTGCTGCTCTTGTTGCCCATGTTTGTGCATCCATGTTGCTCCCAGTGCACTCTGGCAGTGGTTCCCCAGTGTTGTGCCACAAAATGTTGCACCCAAAGGATGTCAACCTAATGTGGCACTGGGTAACATATGCTGGGTGTCTTGCCATGCGGAGAGCTGGGAGGAAGGTGTCTTGGTTAAATCAGTTAGATGGGAGTGGGGGGCTATGAAATGAGGGTGTAGGACCAGTTAGAGAAAGGGGTGTAGGACCAGTTAGAGACAGCAAAGGCAGCCCTTAGTAGGATAGATACTGGCCTTGAAACCACCAACTGGGGACAGAGTTAGCCAAATGCGGTTGCACAGATAGAGACCTGAGAGGCACCCCTGGTTCTCTCCAGACCCATTGAACAGCTTTAGAGCCACATGCCTGGATCACAGGGCCTCAAGCCTCATAATGTGGGGAAGAATAGGGTCCCTGGTAGGTTGCTTGACTATATGTGGAGCCTCAGATCCCCAGCATTGCCTACAATGTCCAGTGTCTCTTGAGGCCTTGCCCAGTGGGGCTCAGCCATGTTTCTTTTCTAGGTATGGACAGCTCAGTGGCATGGTGGAGCCGATCGCTGGCATCTTCGGTGCCTTTGCCGTGGTAGTGGCGGAGCCCCTCCTCCCCTACGCCTTGGGCTTTGCAGCCGGTGCAATGGTCTATGTGGTCATGGATGACATCATCCCCGAAGCACAAACCAGGTGAAGGACTGCTGGGCAATACAGCCACATGCTCTGTCTGGCCTGTGTTAATGACTCAATTCTTGCTGCAGAGGTGTGAAAAGCCCTTTTTCTAAGACACATGCTGGGTTTTTTCTTTTTCTTTTTTTTAAGGTATTTGTTTCATTTCAGGAGTGTTCAGGTTGCAACTCGTCACCTTTGTTTCTAGGCTGAGGCAAGGCTGTAGGTCTTTGAGGGTTACAGATGTTTCTGCCTTTGGAGACCTCCCTTATTGCAGCTGCCTGAAACATTTCTAACAGGATCTATGGACGCACTTATTACTTCAACACTGCTCCACCTAGTCTTAAGTTGGGGCAGTTTTACTACATTTATATCATCCCTGGTTAGTCCATATTTGACAATTAGAGTGTAATAGCTGCTGCCCTTTTGAAAATTTCCCCTTTTAAAATGACTCTAAAGGTATGGCCATGCACTAGCACCTAAATAGCCCCAAATGGATGTGTGTCCATGCACCAGCACCTAATGGATGTGTGTCCATATACTAACTCCAAAATGGACGTGTGTCCATATACTAACTCCAAAATGGATCCATGCACTAGCACCAAAATGGCTCCGAATGGATGTATGTTCATGCACTAGCACCTAAATGCCTGAACCTGGTTGGACTCCATTGTGCTAGACCTTGTACAAAATGCACCGTAAATGACTCTCCCATCTGCAAAGTCTTGTCGTTTTAAGTCTGCCCGCGTGTCATCCATTAAGTTTGGTGCAGTTGCATGTCTGAATCCTCTAAAAGCAGGCTTTGAAAAGCCTGAGCCCCTTGGTCTTTGAGATGGTTCAGTGGTGGAGGGAGATCAAGCTTAATGTTTAAGGTGCAAAAAAAAATAATTCTGAGCTGAGGACTGTGGAAGCTGTAAATTGAATGCCAGCCCCTGGGAAGTAAAGGAGTCCATTCTGAATGATGGTGCAGGGTGATACTCCAGGAAGCATGGATGCGTTTTGTTTCATTTGGAAAAAGGGTTCAAGTGATGTGAAGCTTATAAAGGGCTGGGGAAACAAAGAAGATGGTGGAAGAGTCCTTGCTTTGTGTAGGCCAGATGACAAGTCAACCTTCTCTTGAGCCTTAAATTAACAGCCTTAAATGAACACAGGAGCTCACTCTCTCTCCTTTTCTCCTAACAGTGGCAATGGGAAGCTGGCTTCCTGGACCTCCATCTTAGGGTTTGTGGTGATGATGTCCTTGGATGTTGGACTTGGGTAGTGGCAGGTCACTGTTGGCCAATGGAAGATGACATCGGAGCAATTTGTGCAGCAACTGTTGGAACTGGAAACATTTTTATGCCCTCCTAGATTTATTTTTGTGTATATATTTTTGATCCAGTTTGGTGTTGATTACCTATGATTTTATATATATCTTTTTTTGGTTTTGTTTTTTGGTTTTTTTTGTGGACCTGTGACTTCATGTTGACAGTTTTCAAAGCACAGAGACAGGTGGCTCCTTGCAGGTCCTGGGTTTCCTCTGCCACCAGATGTTTTTTTTTTCTCAACAGGGTTGTGGATAAGACATGCATCAGCCAGGCTGCTATTTGCTGTTGACTTTTCCTTCAGTTCTGGGACATGTGCCTATGTCTGTAATGGTCAGGTCTCTCTGTTATTTTTGATTCATCTGTAGGTGATTAGAAACTTGTGGTCAAATGTCCGAACTGGTTTGTTATTAAGCACTGGGACTCTTGACTGGGATAAATGATCAGAAGTGTCTGCACTTCTGAATTCATCTTGGATGTCTGGAAGTAACAGCACATATATAATCTACACAGGTATGTTGGTAGCAGAACATCTCATCTATCTTCCTGGTTCTTGGGGGTTTTTTTGTTTTGTTTGAATGGCATTAGTTGTTTGGATGGATACCAATAGAAATGAAACTTTATGGGCACCTTGTCCAGCTGGAGAAGTGGGGAAGGCATCTGTTTTCCCCTTGGTGCATGTCTTCTACATGAGGCCTTATTGTACACTAGTGATATTTGTCCAGTGCTCTGGTATTTGCTTCTGTTTTATATCATTGATAGATCACTAGTTCGGTGAAAATTCCCTTGAAACACTAACACGTGCTCTTTCCGGAGGATGGTCTCTTAGCTTTCCATCTCCGGCTTCCCCCTGAGGGTGCCTGCATTAGATTAGAAGAGCCTGGCCTTGTTAACACGTCTCATTTTCCAGGTCTAATAGGATTGATCAGTTAATTACCCAGCGCGAGCAGTCAAAAATGCACCAGCTCAGCTTTTTTCTTTCTTTTTTCAAGCACTTTTTTTTTGGCTTTTCATCATTCCCCAACTGCAGAGTGACTTGTTTTAACAGATCGGGAACAAGCCGTGCTTCTTGCAGGTGGACGCACACTTGTACAGTCAGCACAAGGGAATCTGATGGCTTCACATAAAGCTGGAGAATGCAGCACCAAAGTCGACCGTGTAATTGAGGCAAAACGCACATCCCTCCTCACTTTCGAGGAAGACGTCCCCCCGGAAAGGGGTTTGGTTACACATGTTGGCTGGCACCGTGAGTCACTGGTTGTCTGGCTGATATTCAGACTATTCGTGCCCTCTGGGCTTAAATTTGTAACCAATTAATTTTTAAGCATCCTAGACCATGTATTGTGGAAGCACTGTCTTCAATAAGCTCGCTCTCAGTCCTCTTTGAGAAGTTGTAGGATCACAGCCAAAGGGAATAGATATAAATGAACTAAGTGAAAGCCGTGGAATTTTTCCCTGGCTCATTTTGTTGGCTGGATTTCATTTGTACTTATCTGTATGTTGTCTGGGATACTACAAAAATGCTGTTTGCCAGTTGATCTGACCTTTTAACTGTGATTGGTTGCAATAAATGGGAAGTTGAAAGTTTGTACTGACTTAAATCTGCTCTATTTAACCCTTAACAGACTCCCCAGAGAAGAAAAGTTGCGTTCCCTCTTAATTTTTATCATCCTGGTTTGTCCCAGGTTTTTATGAGATGGCCTCCAAATTAGGCATCTCTAGTCCAAAAGGTAACCTGTCCCACGCGTGACGCTGTCACCTTGTCTTGGTAGCTAGACACCCTTCTAGTAAAGTTTGCTGGATTCATCGTGCAGACGATTGATCCATCCAGTCCTGCCTGTGATGTGGGTCTATGCTGGACGCGTTAGAGAAACGGTGAAAACAAAGCTCTGGGGAACAGGTATGGAAACCCCGGCCCCACTAAAGAAAGATGCTAAAGAAAGCCATGCTTGATGAACTTTCTCGTAGCCCAGGCAAAGCTGGTTATGGGGCTGAGGGCTTCAAGGAACTGAAATGGACTACTGAATGCACCCCCACGGCCTAGATTTCAGGTGCTTTTTCGTCGACCCTTATTGCGATCGCAGGAGCACATGGCTCAAGGGTAAGGCGGTTGTATTATTCTGGGTGGCCTGCATGCTGCATAGGCTGAGATTTGTAGACCTAGCAAAGGTCGAGGATAGCTTGGTAACGGAAGGCAGTCTGCCCAGATGAAGATGGAGGCCACGTATTGAGGAATTTGGCGCTGTTATTTATGTGCGGACCTGAAAGCTGCAAGGCCCTGAGGGCAGTAACCACATCACTTCAATTCATTTGGCAAAGGAGCCATCTGGACAATTGAGAGAACTAAGCACACTTCCCTTTCCAACTCCTATCATCATAGCCTGCAAACCGCTTTGGAGGCTACAGCTGGCACGGAGGTGACGTTGAGTCGCAAACCTTTTCCTGGAGAATTGCTTTTTCCACATAGGGATCTCAAAGTGCTTTATAGCAGGGGGTAAGTAGCATTGTCTCCATGTCACAGGTGGGAAAACTGAGGCACAGGCCTGAGAAATGACTTGCCAGCATGATGCAGTGAATTGGGGGTAGAAGCAAGGCCTTCTTGCTCTTGGTCTTGCAGTCTGTCCATGGGCAAAATGTTCTTGAAGGGGGTAAACCCTTATTTTCATCCGGTGAAGCTGGTACAACTCCCGACTTGCCCATTTGCATCCGTGAGGACAGGAAGAGTTGTGAGGGCATTTTTCCCAGAGTCATGGTGGAAGAGGTAGAAGCATCGGGGGTGTTAGATTATTTCCCAGTCAGGATTTTCAAGTGGAGCATCTGTAAGTGATGTTTTCTTATTTGATTTCTGGCGTGTGGTGTGAACTGGTGGAAAAAAAACCACATTATTAATTTAAAAGAAAACCTTATAATCAGCTCGCTGGGAGATAATATCACGTAATGCACTTAATCCTGCTTAGATGTAGCCCACTAAGATAATTATGTATGTTCATCCCATAGAAATGGGGAGGTGGGAGAGTGATGTTGGAAAATAACGTGAAAAATCCTTCTCGTCTGCCCGTGCCCCGGAGGGGAATGCAATTAGATATCTATTTCTTGCCATGATTGGAAGTCTGGCTACGATCCAGGCTTGAAATGATGCATGGAAACAATAGCTGTCAGGTAAAAGGCGGAGTCCTAAGCAAATACAATACAAACATATGGTCAGACCATACGAGGAGGAGGAGACTGGGAAGGTATTCAGCTCGTTATCCTGGGATCCGGCTGCTATCGTAGGAAGAAACGGTATGTTGGACAGAGGTGTAATAGAGAGAGGAAGGGTTGAACACTGCTGAGGAGACCAGCCTGACCTATGGAAGTCCTGCAGGTTGCATCCATGACACAAGAGTCCCCGTGTGACCTTTTTTAGCACCGCAATCGAAAGGCAATTTAAGGCAGTCTTGGGTGTCGATGGCTGTATGGCTGCAGCCGCAAAGTCCTGGATCCTGAGTGAATTTGGTACCTGATCTAGCTATTTAAAACCTAGTTTAGGCAACCAGCTGCAATCACATCTCTGTATAGCAGTGTACACATTCCCATGGCCTCTCTTTTCCCCATCTGTACAATGGGGATAATAACTCTTCCCTCCTATGGAAGTGGTTCTGTAAGGAAGCATGCATTATGCACATTCAGGGTCAGAAATTGCAGTAAGGATGGGGCATAGGAGCACCTTACATCTTTTCCCCAGGAGGAGGTTGAGGTGACTTCAAAGACACGGGGCACTGCAATATAGTGGATTTTTTTTGTGTCCTTGATTTCCTCTTTGTAAGTTCTGTGTTGCTGCGTGAGCTCCTGGGTGCAGGGACGGGGCCTGCCTGCGTGTCTGAAAAGCATCTGGCACGTGCTGGGTCTCTCTGCAAACAGAGACTAAGGAGCACGGTCTGTGCTGGATGCTTCACTTCATTACCAGACACAGTGACCGTGACGGGCAAGGCCTCAGGAAACTGGAACAAACCACCGGTCCTTTTAAAAAGAAATGCACCTGTGTTGCCTGGGTGGAAGAGGCTTTTTAATCAAGCCTTGGGCAGCGTTAAATGAGTAAGTCGCACACTTCTGGTGTTTCCTGCGCTGTTCTGTGGGGTCTGTGCCGGCTCCATTTGTCAGCGTTGTCCAGGCTGGGCTGACTCTAAGCAATCCAGAGAGGATTTGGGCAATGCTGGGCCTTCCTACCCTTTCATCTCAGTTTCTCCAGCTGGAAAACAGGTAGTTATTGCAGTCCCCGTCTCCCAGAGGCACCGTGAGGGCTTATTTTATTAAGTCCTTCAAGGACTTTTAGGCTGAGGCTGCTGCATCACCTTAGAGTCCAGCGGAGGGCATTGAAAATGGTTTGGGGGCTGGGGGACAGGACCGGTGAGGAGAGGCTGAGGGAAATGGGCTGATTGAGTCTGCAGAAGAGAAGACTGAGGGGGATTGAATAGCAGCCTTCACCTCCCTGCAGGGGGCTGCAAAGAGGATGGAGCTGGGCTGCTCTCAGTGGTGGTAGTTGACAGAAGGAGCAATGGGCTCAAGTTGCAGCAAGGGAGGTTTAGGTTAGATATTAGGAAAAACTCTCTCACTAGGAGAGTAGTAAAGCACTAGAATAGGTGACCCAGAGAGGTGGTGGACTCTCCATCCTTGGAGGTGTTGTAAGACCCAACTAGACAAAGCCTTGTCTGGGATGATGTACTTGGGGCTGGTCCTGCTTTGAGCAGAAGGCTGGGCTATATGTGACCTCCTAAGTCCCTTCTAACCTACATTTTCTATGCTTTCTATGATCATCAGAGATGCCCCTCTCCAGTTCTCCTTTCCTTTCCAGTAGTCACCATTAAACAACCAGTACGGTACCACCAGTTATCACGGAGGGTTCCCCTGGCAATGCAGAGATATCAAGGAGGTGGCATCTTTGGCGCACAACAATCGTGGTATTTCCATGCTGGGATGCTGAACACAGACCCTAAGAAGGAGAAGCTGGCTCCTGCCCAGTTCTCCAACAACTCCCAGTCACTTGACAGGAGCAGGCTCCAAAGCTTTTAATTTGTATGACAAAGTATCTGCCCATGGATCCAGTGTGGATTTTTTTTTTTTTAGCTTTATTTGCTCAAGCTGATTTACAGATGTCTCCATTGGTTTTCACTTCTCATTACTCAGCCCTTGGTTTTATAGGCAGTCACGCTTGGCGTGTACAGAGGATTGTGGGTAACCTCATGGACATTAAAGCTGCTTGAATGCAAATAATTATTTTTAGAAAAAGGAACCATTTTTTCTAAAAATATTCCCAGTCTCTTGTAGTGGCTTCTGGGATGGGAAAGTGCACTGAGAAGCATTGCAGCTGTCAGTCTTTCCTTGCATGTGGGACACCCTCTGCTCCATCCAAATAGTGTTTACACTCGGGGTAGGGATCATCACTTATCCCAAGCACAGACATCCAGAGGGATTGCTACGGACCCTTTGTCACTCCCCCGAAGACAATGAAGTTACTAATTGGGGTTGCTCAAGGGGGCAGAGATCAGAATTTGCCCTCTAATGGCCCTGTTCTCTGGAGGTGGTTTATCTCCCAGGCCACTTTTCCTTCTTAAATTCCCTGCTGCAGCTTCAGCTGGGTTTTATATCATTCACTTCTCAGTGTACCTGGCTTAAAAAGCTCTCCTCTAAGCCCGGTGGCGGTCATGCTACAGCAACGGGTGAAGTGACTCATTCGTCTCTCTTGCACAAAACCCATGTGTGCATGCCGTGCTTGCAGATCTGCCGTAATGCTTTGAGAAGGCAGAGGAGCAAAGCTGCTATTGAGTCCTTGGCTGTGGCCTTTATTGCTTTTTGTTTACCTGGGCTTATTTTAGGAGGTATTTTCCTCGAGGACAGGGACTGATGCTTTGCAGAGCCACACGTGTCCGTCGCTGGGGAGAGTGCGGTGCATGGGGAATGGGAAGCTGTTCCCCTAAGGCCATGGCTGCCCCAACACAACAGCAATGCCTTGATGACACTGCGCCACACGGAGATAACGGCGCTCGCATTGTCACTGTTTATCTCCGGATGAGGTCGCCGGAGAGGGGATTATGTCAGGCTGGGGCTGTGTCATGCAAAGCAGCTGTTTCGCACGCACAAAGATGCACTGCGGCGGGCCTGCCCGTGGGACGAGAGGGCAGGTGCAATGGCGTGGGTTGCCCTGGCCTCAGCCAGCTCTTCACTGTCCCTGAGAATCTGATCTGGTTTGTTTGCATGGAGCGCATGTGTGCTTGAAGCCGAGTGCCAATTCTGCTCCTAAATGAGGGCAGCCTGGCTCACTGGCTTATGTATTTCTCCACCTTCTGGTTCCCCGCCCTCACCACCGCACCCAAAATGCCTCCAGATATTGCACCTAGCCAGCCCCATCCCATTGGACTGTATCTACCCCAGATGTAAGAATTTTGCATCCCATCGCAGGGGAAGAGTTTCCCCCAGTGCAGCCCACCAAATATACCCTGCATGGCAGTGGGGATTGAAAAGCTGCATGCTTGTGTGCACATCTGAGCCCTAGCAAGGGACCGACGGCCCGGTGACATCTCCCCGCTCGGGGCCTGTCCGTCGTCTCCGCGG